TTTTTTTTATCTCAACTAATAATTCTCTAAGTAATTTTATAATATTCTGCTAAATTTCTTTTCAAATAAATCTTGATATCAAAAATTCTACTTAGACTTTTTTATGTTTCTACAAAATAAAAAAATCTATTATCAAAAAAAAAACATTCTCATCTAATATATTATTCATTATAAGGTAAAAATCAAATCTATATCTCAAATTAATTTATGCAACACATACCTGACAATATCCAATATCTAAACAAAAATAAAAACGAATATTTCAAACAAAAGAAAATAATGATTTAATTTAACCTGGAAAAAGCCAAGCAATAGCTCTTAAAACTCGTCTTAATCTTGATATTCCTGATGCATTTATTGACATAAAACATGCATTTGTTGGTAATGTTCTTAAAAGATCTTTTTCAATTTGTTTTGAATAAAGTTGTGCATCATTATTACATTGTTTAAGCATATCTATATAAGACATTTTAGCTTGATATTTTTTATGTAATGATCCACTAAGACACATCCATATTTGAGCACGTATTGATAATGGAATACCAAATGATTGTTGTAATAATAAAGAAATTCTTGGATCTTGTCGAAATTGATTTGAATCAATTTTATCTACAAGTTCTTGATCTTGTATTGGTAAATGAACAACATCAATTTTATATTTTGAATCAAGATGTGTAAGCCATTTTAATTTATTTGATTCATTTTCAATCATAGGTACGATTTCGTATTGTTGTTCATTTTCATTAATATCAATACGAAAACCATATTCATCATATATTATTTGTTCATCATTATCATTTAATAAATATTCAGGTGATGGAATAAGTGAATTAATAAGAGCTGAAAATGGTTTACCAATAATAACAGATGAAGATAATTTATCTTGATTATTATTGTTTAGATTTTTTTCTGTTGTCGTGGTTTGTATTGTTGTTGATTGTGGTGGATATTGTGACGTATATAATGTATCGTCTTTTTCACGATAATGTGAAAAAACATGATCAGATGTTGATGATAAGGATGAAAAATTGTCACTGTTAGTAAACGAATTTAACATGGTTGTCATTGGAAAAAAGAAAAAGATAAAACTTCGTGAGATACTTTGTACACTGCTGATAGTGTCAGTTCATGAAGTCCAATAATGATTGGTTCGACTAATAATAAATTAAATAAGAATCGATTGTTTCTGTGTTCTACTGACATCTAGAAAAAATATTAAGATTTATATTAAAATAAAAAGACACTTTTATATAGTTTGTGAAACGATGATTAATTAAAATAAATATTGAAAAAATTATTTCTTACTTGAATTGTTGAATAAATTAACTTTATAAAAATTGACATGATGAGAAATTATACTTATTATAAAAATAAAACAGTCTGATATCAAAAAATTTGATTGACATGATCTCGATGAAATTCCATATATATTGTAAACTCAAAAGGAAATTGAGCTTAAGAACTAAGTAAAACAAAAAGATGTTTCAAAATGTACTTAATGGATGCAGTTTTTCACGCGCCATAAAATGAGTATATTTCGAAACGTCTGAGGTGGCAAAAAAGAAGAGTACAACTTATTTTATTGAAAAATCGAATGTTTTTCTACCACATAAAAAAATGAATTTTTTTAAACATTTTTTGCGATTTTCCAAATAGTCTTTTGAATTTTTTATCTCAAAAAGATGGCTCAAATTTTTTTTAATATATACAGTTTTGTAGAGTTCATCGAGTTCTATCGAACCATGTAAAAATTTCCAAGAAAAAGTTTTACTCCACTTTTGAATTACTGGCAACTTAATTTTCTACGCCAAAAAAAGCATAAAATTTTTGAAAATTTCTTAAGTTCGACATTAAAAGGCCTTTATAATCTTTACTATTTAGTACCAATAAATCCAGTTTTTGACGTGCTTTAATTTGGTATAAAATACATTTGTGACATCATTCATACTTTAGGCTATAGACTTGGACACAAAGGTTATTTAACACCCTGTAGATAACTAAGGTGATTATTTTAAACATTTGATAAAATAAACAATTGTTGAACTTGTTTCTGTATTTCTTTTGTTCCATCAGCATTACTTTTTGTCCACTGTAAAATATATGGACGACTACTTATTAGAAGAGATGAGAAGAAGATGATGAAAGAAAGAAGCAGAGAAAAATAAAGAAAAAAACGAAAAGAAAACACGCATGAATGATAATATGCACTATTGCTATCAGCTGGAATTATACAAAAAAAAAAGTTCTTATCGAAATTTTATTATTATGATACCAGTTGAATAGTGATCAAATAGCATAGAAAAATAGAGCGAAAGACGCTCTATCTTTTCATAAAAAAAGAAAATTTTTTCAAGCTTTCTATTAGAAAAAAAGCATCTCCGTCACTACTTTTGGATAATCTTAAGTATTTATAAATTATTTCTTTTTTTTTCCTTGTCATAAACTACCTGCCATAATTCCATAGCAATAGCTTTATCAAGTTGAACTAAATGTGTTTCTAAATGAAGTGCTTGCGTTTCAGACAATTGAAAATTTACACTATACATTTGTTGTGAATAGTTTTGTGATTGTATAAGATATGTATTACGTATTACATCATGTAATTTTCGAAATTCAGATTGACGATTATATTGTTAACAAAAATGGAAACCGATTTTTGCTACTTCTTGATAGATTTTTTTCAACATGATTATTAGTTTTTAATAAACCTAAACATTGTTTATAAGATTCCCAGACAAATTTTAAACATGATGCAAGGATATCACGATCAGTACAATCTTGATGCGATTTATCACTGACTGCACTGAGTAAAAGACTAAATAAAAATGTAAATATTATTATCGAGAGGTAAAGAGTTTTAATTAATAAATGAAATGAAAATAGCCATATAATTCGATTGATTCAATTGCCTCTATGAAACACATTATACACACTAGATTCTTGCAAATTTTCGATATCTACAATCAATTTTTCTTATTTAGTTTCTGATCAATACGTTCTTTACAATTAATTTTTTTCCTTTTTCAAAACTCTTCGGATCTAATTGAATTTTTAAAAATATCGCCAAACAATTTATAGCCACCACTGCTGACAAAATAAAAAAGAAATCTTGGTAAATTTCAGTTGTCAATCAACTCATCGACTCACAACTTTTAATGAAAATCTGTAATGATCAAGTACAAGTCTTCTTAATAACAAGAAAATTAGTTCGACATATTATCCTTTATGATCTAAGCAGAAGGTCACAAATAGAATTTTGTTTTACGTATCAAAGTCATCACTCTATAGTATCAAAGAAACTATTAATCATGATCGAGAGAGTCTAGTAATCGGTACATGTAAAAATAGAAGAGAAATCTTATTGGTTTAATACTGTTACATCATTTATTTCCTAATATTGATATTTTTTCTAAATCTGATTTCTACAGAAACATCAATGAAATAAGTTGAGAAGTTTAACTTCGGTAACACAGTTTTTGATTATGGTTTACCAGAAATGACATATATTTCGATTAAAGAAATCAAACAGTGTAGATGAACCGAAGAAATTGATATTTTTTTTTTTTGAAATAAAACTGTTTGATTATTTTGATAAGAGAACTCAAATTTACTCTCAACATGTTTTATTAGAGAAAAATAGAATATCAATAAAATTTCTGTCATCTGAAAAAAATCGATCGATTCGATTATGACTATGATTCACATCTAAATACAGAGAATAGTGTCTTGTACAAACGTTTTCTTTTCAGTTATGTTTCTCGTGAGAATGAAAAATCAAAATTACATATTAGCGTTTAAGAAAAGCTTTTGTCTTATGTTCACATATATATTAAATGTGTTCATTTAGTAGTTTTCTATTTAGACGTAATTATTTACCTCTATCTTCAATCTTAACTCTATTTTTATTTGAACCTATATCAAATTATGCAAAAATGTAATGACACAAGAAGTTTGCATATGTCAGTGGTATTCTTTTCTCAAACATAAAATATTAAACAGAAATCGAGCTTTCAAAGGTTTTACAACAAGTAAGAAAATCCACTTTGAACATTCTGAATGCTGAAATATTAGTCTTTAGTCAAAATATACCGCTCAGATTCAAAATACTGTTAGTGTACGCTATCACTCCTTGTATAGAGAAAAAGAGAACATTGTTAGGTACCATACACTATTTTCAGTGAGACATATATACTGATTACGTGAACAAAATTTTGAATTTCACTATTGATTTTTCAATACCTTTCAAATGTTTGTAGAACATTCAAATAATCAATATCCATCAGAACGTTTGTAGCTTCTTGTCGAGCATTTAAACATTGTTGTTCATCTCGTTTGAGAAATTTCATAACATATTCAAGTGATTTAACTGACACTCAATAATAATTAAAATGATTGATTATTAGTTTTTCTTAATTCAATAAAAGATTAAATTTAAAGTGTTTGCGATATTGTTTTATATCGATGAAGAACATCTTTAGCCAGTTAACTTTTTTTTTTAATTCAACACATAAATCTAAAAAGTTTTCCATAATAAAATAAACTAAAACTTCATTTGATGATTAACTTACTTCGTCTATCTACAGAGAAAAATATTACCAATCATTAGAGTTGATAGAACTAATTGAAAATGATGAGCTTTCCCAAACTTTTCCTCAAATGACATTGTTAAAATTAAGAAAATAGTTATTTCATTGCTTAAAATATTAATGAAATTTGAAATTTATAATGACCCATTTAAAATCATTCAAAGAACAATCTTGAAATCGTAAAACAAGAAGCGTATTTCGTCCGATATAAATTAAATAACAGGATTCGAACTTTTTATCTAATTTCTTGAACTGAAAATAAAAGAAATTTCTTGATGTATTCGATTTATCAAAAAAAAAATATGAAGGCAACAGTATAGTCTTTTTTTTTTATTTTACAACTAACTGACAAACATTTTGTTGATTCTTACAGTACATGAGTTGAGAGAAGAAAAATAGAATACAAGAAACGAAAAAAAAAAAAGAACACATTACGTTTAATTTAAGTAAGAACGAATGATACAATACTACAGGTTCCTTAATTTATATTTTCATAACATTTTTGTTCATTTATGTATACTTAGAACTGACAATTAATGCGTCATCATCGACAAAAAAAAAACATTAGTCTTGACACAACATATATGTGGAATCATTAGATTTCAAAAAAACACCTATCAAGAAAAACTACGAAATGTGCTACATAGAAATTAAAGTCAAGAATTTCTTATCGAATACAAGTTTTGCTACATTTGGTCGATTTGATCGATCATTTGATTGATGAGGAAAATAACAACGTCCATGATTTCGATAATTTCGACATCATGTTGCTGTTGTTTGTTAATTGATTGTTGAACTTGTTCACGTATAATATCAAAGTAATTTTGGTGATGATATTGGCTCAGGCCAGAGATGGAACCGATCTACCTTTTTTCAGACCAGTACCGGTGCGGGTCTGGAGAAAGGTAGACCGGATCGAACCGGCCGGTATACCGGTTTGACCGATCTGCCGATAACAGGATACTGGTGATACGCCAGTTTATCAGGAAAACCCGACCTATCGATAAAATATCGATCTACAGACAACAGGCTGAAGCTTAAAATGAAATCTTGTGCAGTGAACTCTTTGGTGGGTTACCTTCGTACCTTGAATACAATCATAGAGCAGGAAAGTGAAAAATATAGACCAGTATAGACCGGTAGACCCAAAATCTAGACCGGCCGGTAACCGGTACCATCTCTGGCTCAGGCTTAAGATATTTAATTGATGTTGTTGCTGTTGTTGGTTGCCGAGTAAGATATTTGATTGTTGTTGCTGCTGCAGTTGGTTGTTGATTAATAGATTTATTTGTTGTTGTGATTGATCTAATTGTTGCTGTGATTGATCTAATTTTTCTTGTGATTGATCTAAGTGTTGTTGCTGCTGCTGTTGGTTGTTGATTAATAGATTTATTTGTTGTGATTGATTTAATGGTTGTCGTAAGCGTTGTAAATGACGTGTTCGCTCATCCTAGAGGAAAGTAAAGAGAATATGAAAAATGCGACATATATAAACTGTCACAGGAGACTGGTGTGCTTCTTTCTGTAACAAAAACTAAATTGCAATTGAACAGACTTACTTCTTCATCGATGTCGAATGGTTTAAGTACATTAGTCATCTAAAAGTAAGATAGAAATTACAGCACTAAAAATATTTACTTCTATTGCTCCCATAGAGAAAGAAATTAATATTAATAATTGATGTTAAATAAATGATGCGAGAGACGAAAGAAGAGTAAGAGAGAAAATATTTCTTTATATAGATATGCACATATTCAACGTGAGAATGGGCTTTTATAGTTTAGTGGTGCTTTGTTCATATTCATCAATGAAAGAATAGGCATTATATGCAATCACACAATAATGTATTCATGAGATGTTGCCAGATAATGTCTCGCACTATGCTGCACGTATATAAATTATCTTATTAGTTGAGTTCAGTCTTATCAAGTTTGATCTATACAAAAAAAAGGTTCAGATAATCTACATACACTTTTTCAGTTCATGAAGTCCAATACTGATTGATTCGACTAATAATAAATTAAATAGGAATCGACTGTTTCTGTGTTCTACTGACATCTAGAAAAATCTTGAGTTTTATATTAACAAAAAACAAAAAAAAATACAATTTATGGAACGATAATTAATTAAAATAAATATTGAAAGAATTATTTCTTAATTGATTTTTTGAATAAATTAACTCACATTTTCATGAAAATCCCCTTTATTAGATAAATTATTCATTTTAATTAATGGATTAAGTTCATAATTATTGATAATATCAATTTGAATTCTATTTTATATTCGTATCCAAGGCTCTCGATTGTTTTTAGGAGTGGGGGGGGGGGGGGGGGGGGGAAAAATTTTTTGGCAGACAGTATTCATATTTTTTGCCAGACAGTTATTTCTATAAGTTTTTTTTATATTGAATTTATAGCGGTTTATAACATCCTATCTATGGCGTATGCCTCAGAACGAATACCTTGTTTAATTCTTGACCTTCGAAAGCTTTTTAAAAATCTCTGTAATACTTAAATTGTACAATGTGATGGAGTATTGGTTTTTTTGATAATACGTAGAAGTAGAAGATACAATACAAATCAATTTATTTAATACTAATATATAGAAGATAAAAGGTTGAAATTAAAAAAAAATATCTGCACAAAACATCTTTTAAACAGTCTCTTCATCGAATTCCATCTCGTTATTGTATTCAGTAAAAACGCTTATATTTCGACGTTTAGCTGTTTGAGGATTACTAATAAAATCGTCGATGATGAATTTTATAGCATCATCTGTTAAATTAACTTTAAGTGATGATACTTTGATTAAAATCTCTAACGTTGAATTGCTTAAACCATTTCGTAACCATGACTTTATTCGTTTTAAAGTGCTAAATGTACGTTCGGCTTCGTTCAATCCAATACCAAATGTTGCTAAAATTTGAAATAGCTTGTACCATTCTGGACATTGTTCACTTCCATGTTGTGCAAGACGTTGTGTAATTGATGTAATGGATGTTATATTGCCAACAATAGTAAGAAATGCAAATACATCATTTTTCAATTGTTGATAATTTAGTAAAGGTGGATCAGTTCTTTCATATACTTACCGATCAACAGCCGTATGTTTATATGTCATTGGAGAACAATACTGAATTATTAACGAATTTTGAAGTAATTCTTCAGCTGAAAACTTGAATGGTGATGATAACACAGCAATATTTTTTATTAATTCTTGCGCTTCAGTATTAAATCTATCGTCGAGCGATTGAAGAAAGTGATTAATAAAGGTCTTACCTGTATCACGAAATTGTTCTTCATCGAAATCTGTCGCTATTGTTTGAATTTGAGAGCGTGTTGATCTAAAGGTTGGTTCCACTGTTGGTAAATACTTTTGAACGTCATTCAATATTTTTCGCACTTGATTAAAGTCAAATATTTCAATCGATTGTTTAATCGTATTACGTGCAGCATCAACATGAGTTACAAATTCATGAAGACAGGAACCTCTTTTTTCTATTTGACGCAAAAATTGTAATGAAGGACGTAGCACGTCATGCATAAGATGTATTTGAAAAACTACTTCGGGTTTCATTAATTCAAATTCAAATCGCCTCGCATCCGACGATCTACTTGTTTTTTGTTGTGATATTGTTGAAAGTGCTATAACAACAGCTATGTAATTTGTGCATATGAAATGTACGAGCTCATATGCGTAAGACCAACGAGTGTTACTCGACTTTGGCACACTAATTTCTAGAAAAAAAGGAATTGAGAAATAATTAATATCATTCGTGACCTATGGATAGAAAAATATCACCTTTATTGTTACAGTTGATAAGTTTTTGACTTTCATATAATACTTGAAGACGAATAGAACTGTCTCGTAGAAAAACCAAAGTTGAATGAACAGTATCATAAATATCATATATATAAATTTCAATTGCATCTTGAACACTTAAATTTAATAAATGTGAACGACAATAAATATATATTGCCCAGGCTGATAATCGACTGCGAACGTGTCCTTGTGCCTGATAACGCATCGAAGACGCTCCATCATATGTTTGTGCTGTAATTATCAGTTCTTTGTTTGTTTCCTGCTGAAGACGTTCGATAAATTCTCAAGCAATATTGAATACACCTAATTCAGTAACAAACACGAAATACTGTACACATATTTAAATAAAGTATTTTACCTTCTCCACTTCCATCCATGATTGGCTTGAACATAAAAACTTCGTCTCGAATATTACCACTATCTTCTTCTACATATCGCAAACATAAACAAAGCATTTCATTAGCCGTTATATCACGAGTTTCATCCATAATGATATTAATATAGCGAGGTTTACGAATTGAAGAAGTTTGCAAATAATGAACAAATATTTATCAATACTTTGTAGCCATTCAGCTATTGCTTCCCAACTCCAATATCTAGAAAGAAAAAGTCACTATACAGTGGATAAAAGAAATTCAGAATTAGAACCCACCGTTCCTTTACGTTTGAAATTTTAAACCAATTGACAATATCAGGACATTGTACATGATAAAGAAATTGTATCAACGTTTTGAATTTTGCCAGTGCAATTTCCTCCTTGATAATTTTCCAAAGAGTTTGAATAAGAATAGTAAGATATTTTCGTGTTTGAATGTCTAAATTTACACATTGTAATTGACCTGCTATATTACCATTAATCGAGACAATTTTTGATGCAATTCGTCAATCAGTCCATGTTCGATGTAAATCGCTTTTTTTATGTTCCTTGATCCCTAATCAGCAAAATGTTATTTAAATAATAAACGTACAATGCAAGCTTCTGTGTTTACCTTCCAATCCCTTATGCTTTAACTTCCAGTATGGTCTTACAATGAATGCACCTTGGGACTTTTTAATAGCCGCTTCATTCGATGCAAATTCGCCACAGTCAATGCATAATAAACCATATTGATTATCTGTACGAATGGCACGCAGCCATGGATGATCTGTCGAAAACCATGCTGGGCTTGGTTTAGCTGATGGCAGATTTTTATTTGAATTCCATGGTATATCTGGATGGTTACTACGTTGTTTTTGAATTATCGTCATTTCATGAGAATTAATAAATCTGACACCTTTGATTGATGTAACAATATTATTGGATACATCTAACATTGTTTTAACAGGTGTTTGTATTAATATAGAAGATGAAGATTGATCATAATTACTCAGAGTATCAGCACTATTTGTTGTGGCAGAATTGATATTCAAAGAACATTCCTTATCTTTAACAACTATTTCATAATTGTCTTGTGACAAATGGTAATCTGAAGCAGAAGAAAATTCAATAGTAGTGATAAATTAATACTGTTAAAATATTTGTTCTCACCGCATTCATTTGAATCAAAATTTACATTATTTGTAGAAGTTGTTGATATGATTTCGATTTGATTTGTTTCATGGTTAACTAGTAAATATCAAAAGGTATTATGTTTTAAAGGTTTGATAAATATTTCTTACTTAACTCTTCTCCAGAATTAAGTGGAATGTGACTTTGGTCATTAATGATTACATCTTCAATATTGCAAATCTCATCACTTTGATCTTCTTGTTGAGAATTCGATATTGATTTTGCGAATTTTTTTGTTGAAAAAAAATGACGTATAATTACAGCTTTAGGTTTGTCGTTAGATATACTAGGTGTTGATGGTAATAATTCTTCATATTTTTTTTTAATTGTATCTTCAGTCATTGTAGGCTTTTGACGAGCATGATCTTTCCAATTTTTCTTTGCCATTTGTTTACCACAGTCCGGGCATATTATCTTCATAGATACGGTTATAGTAGCCATATGTAAAGACGAAACAATGTAATATAGCTAAGCATCGTATACACACACACATATATATATATATATCAAAGGTTCGCAATGTAAACTTGAATTATGTATTCATAACTGATTCATAACAATCGCGTCGGTTGTTCTGTTTTTCTATAGTTAATTCAATTACCATCAAATAAGCGTTCCGACATCTATTTTTTTTCGTTCTGTTTCTTTTGATGAAAATAAACGTTATGTATTATGTTTCCAATCGCACAGTGCATTTCAGAACGTTCAATCAATATCATTTTCGCCCAGTTTGATAAATATATCGGGCAGTATGAACGGAATTTCTACATGTAAACGCCAAATTTATTGTTATCACAAATACTTTGAAATCCGCACTGTAAACCTCGACATAATCGTCACCATATTGTTACGTCTCAACCAAGTTCATACAAACAATCATATCAATCAAAACTAACATCTAAGAACCGTTCATTGACTATTGATTAAGCGTACGATAATGTGGAACGTAGGCATCGATCATCGATCCCAGTTTTTTTTCGTTCTTTATGGACACAGAAATGAACACAGATTCACAAAAGTCGTCACACACACAGATTTGTTATTTACACCTTTGAACATATTCTTCAGAAACAGTCTACTAGATCCATGAAAACAAAACCATGATCTATATTGTGTGGCGGATTCAACAGAGAATCTACTAGATCTACAAAAACGAAGACATGATCTGTATTGTCTGGCAGATTCTACAGACAGTATAGAACTGCTCTGTTGTCTGGTAGATCCAACATACAGTATAGAACTTCTCTCTTGTCTGGCAGATTCTACAGACCGTCTACTGGTTCCAAAAAAACAACGACATGTTCTATACTGTCTGATAGATCCAACAGATAGTTTATACTATGGACAACGTCAAAAGAATATGTCCACTCAGTGAGATTCTTAAAACTGTAAGTGTTGATGAAAGCTTCGCAGACATATAGCAGAAAAATTTTTGCAGACAAGCTGGAAAAATGGGAGGGGATAGTCCCCCCCCCCCCACATCGAGGGCCATGTTCGTATCATAAGTATAATTGTTATCAGAGTAAAATGATTTATCTTTTACAAAAATAAATAAAAATCATATCGATATCAGGATTTATTTTTCAATTTTTCATTCACACAAAGTTCTTGTCGATCTCTAGTTAAAGTTCATGATATTATATCATTCCTTTTTTTTTCAATTCAATGTACGATCAAATATTTAAAAACAAAAGCAAAGAGATTCTTTCACAAGTTCTCGAGACCAAGACCACTAGAAAAGAAGTTGCTGGAACCAAGACAAAGAAAAACTTAGTTCCAGAAATTTTTCCTTCGGACTGTTATAAATCCATGTTAAGTATGATTCAACTTTTTGAGTTGAATTCTTCTGTGTCAATTAGAGAATGCAAAAATAACTTAAGAATGACAATCTATAATTTCGATTAATTTGCCTTGTAATAAATAGTAGTACTTTAATATTCGAACGTCGTTTTGACTTCGAAAATATTTCATTCAATATTTTTCCACAAGAAAATAATCGATTAATTGGATGAAAAATAATAAAACAATTATTTATACTGAAGACAAATATGTTCCTTTTTTATTTTTCATTGCACATAGACTTTAACAAAAAAACTTTGTGAGACAATAAAACACAAGAGAAAAACAAAAATTCATATCTTTTTATTTTATGAACCAACAATAATGTTGTTGATAGGTATATGAATAAGTTTAACGAAGAAACCAATAAAACCCATTATAGCAAAACCAATTGCTGTAGCCATAGCAATTTTTTGAAATTCTAAGTATATAAATATTAATAATAATAATAATAAGAAGAAGAAACACAAAAATTGAATAAATTACCTTTACGATCAGGTTTGGTACATTTTTTAACTAACCGAATTGAATCTTTGATAAATTGTTTGCATGGTTCAGAAAATTGTTGAATTTGATCCATATCAATAAATTGAATTTATTCAATAATCAATCTTTGGCGAAATAAAATAAGTCGAATAAAATCTTCGATTAGTATTTGTGTGTATGCTTGAAACGAACAGCTATTTAACAGCCTAAGGAATCAGGTTAACCAATCAAATTATAGTCTTGTCACCCGATGACGTTTATCTGCATTAATGGATCGATTAATGTTAAAAGAAAATCAATAGATTAAATATTTTTTTAATGAATGATAATAATTTATAAATCAATTTTAATGAATTTTTATAAAGTTTTTCACATTATTCTCATTGTAACGATGGTAACTATAAGTGAGAGAACATGCAAATGGCACCTTTACTTAGCCGAGCTTGATAAAAGAAGACAATACTTTTTTATATGACAAGCATGTTTACATTATTGTGAATAGACTATTTACATAAGCAGTGGAAGAACGAGGCTTGGATAGACTCAAGCCTACTCTAAAATCATGTATCGTAGACGAGGATAGATTGAAATATTTATTTATCATTCCATTTGATTGATAGACTTATGAAATACATCGAAATTCTTGCACAAACGTCAACATTCTTCATCCTTCCCTGCTGTGATAAATCGTGACATTTTTGTAGTGAAGCAGACTTAGAAAATGTTCTTGAGGAAACATTGAATTTGATATAACTAAATATTGGATCCCAATGATTTGAAGTAGTACTTCTTTGTTATAAGTGCAGAAGAATTGTATGAAAAACTCGAGTAGGATAAATTAAAAATCACCAACAGTTTCTTTCATCTTCATTGGTTAAGTTTATATGCCTAAGTAACATTGTCAACAAAGGTAATAAACTCGTAATAGAATTCTTTTGTTTTTTTCTTTTTTGTGAACACTACTGCTTCATTATTATTCTGTTTTTCAGTGCAATACATTAAAAAATTCTTTCGAGACTTGAAAGTAAACAATGAAAAATGATGGCGTGTTTCTTTTTCTTCGACGTGCATTTTTTTTTCTCTAATTCGTACAAGCTTCATACTGAGTTTTAAATCAGAAGTGCTGTGTTACAATTGAATTACATAAAAAGGTTCGTTCTTCTTATTTTTTACTTCCCGATGAAGATCTTATAAAAATTGTCGAGCCTACACATTCCACCGCTTATGACTATATATGATCTAAAAGGCAGTCTGATTTGCAAAGCACATTAAAGAGTGCAAGTGCCTGGGTTTCATCAATCAGTATAATATACCGAAAAGTTCGTCTTTTTTTTGAGAGATTTTATACTGACAAGTGAACGTTCCCAATTATCCTAACGCTTGTCACTTAAAACTATTGCCATTCGATCAGTCATGATGATAAGTGAAAAAGTCTGTTTTAATATGTTCTTGGCTTGTTGGGTTAGTTGCATCTTACTCGATTATTATCCTGTTAGCATAAGATTCTTGAGAACCTCGATGATCGAATTTCGAGTTTGAATTTTATTCATGGATAGATCTTATAGTCATTAGAAATTTCTTAAGGATTCCAAAAAAATGTCCATTTTGTGATTTATAGCTCGTTACATAGAGCTAAGTGTCTACTTTCGAATGCACTATAGTTTATTGATTTTATGATGAGATTTAAGGATGTTACACAGGCTTTTCTGAACGTCCCATAGGAGAAAGTAAAGTTTTTTTCTCAAAATATAATTTTTGCTTTTTACGTTTCCGTGCGTCCCAGATTTCTCCGCCATTTTAAAAGCTAGAAAGCTGAACTTGGTGTCAAAATGAAGACAAAAATTAGCTGTACAACTTAACAGAGTCGAATTTTTCGATTTCCTCATTAATGTTAATAAGAAACTAGTTTTTTTTGACCTGCCATCATCGGCTTTTTTTATATTTTATCAGAGAAATATTTTAAAGACCCAAGTTAGGAGAGAATCGAAAAATCGGACCTTGTTATGTTGTAGCGCCACATCTCGGTTACATTTTAAAACCAGCCCAAACTTTCTAGCATTCAAAATGGCGGAGAAATTTGTGACGCATGGAAACCTAAATTTTGACCCATAACATTATGGTAACTCGTCATAGACTCAATGTATCGAGCTGAAATTTTTACTATGAGCTGTCTAGATCGAGATACACCTCGGCTGGAAATTTCATCATGATTGGATGCTCGAAAAAAAAAATCATTTTAGAGGGAGACATCTTCAAAGTTTGCATAAGATCAAGCATGTTCTTGCCAAAATATTAGCATTTTACAGAAGTACCAGTTTTACGCTGTGTTTCAATAGGAAGTAATTTACTTTTCACGACAAGCTGATATCTTGATAAGAGTACATTTGTCCTTATCCAAGCTTTGAAGAGTTTCCAGTGCCTATAAGACATATCTATAAACTAAATTTCAATCCAAAATTCGATCATCCAAACTCTCAATAACTATATGCTAAATCGAGTAAAACGCCTCTAACTCAACAAACCAAGACCAAATCAAAGCAGACTTTTTCACTAATCATCACGATCAATTAGATGGATGGTTGAATTATCTTTAATCATATTAAAAAATCTTCCGAACTCTAACGGACATCTATATCACAATAATAATATTAAATGATGAATATTATGTATTGTTAGAAAATATCTTTTTATTGTTAAAATAAATTGTGATAATAATTTAATGGCTAATGATGATGATCTATCAACTTCAATATCATCAATAAAACAACTTTCACAATCTCATAAACATCGAATTCTTACTCATAATCAACCAAGAGGAAAAAATCTTATTAATGATGTTCATAGTAATGAACATTCAACAACAAAATTACCATCACTTCTTTCAAAATCGAGTTTTTTTCCTTCGACATCTGGTAAATTAATTTTTATTAAAATTTGTTTGTTTTTTTAAATTTTTTATTTGTTCGAATAGAAACAATGCGTTTTAAAAGATATCGTTCACAACAAAAAGATATTATTAAAACATCATCATTATCAAAATTCGAACGACAAACAACAAATCTTATTTCTCAAACACGTTTACCAACATTAAATAATAATGAACAAAAACGAATATCGGAATTTCAACGACGACAAGTTTGTTATCCTTGTAAAATACTATTATTATTGTTTTTTATTTAATAGATTTATGGATTAAATCATCTTATGCGTGAATTAGAACAAGAACAATTTCGAGAATTTTGTAAATTAAATGGTATGGGTGTTGGTAATTCTGAAGAAATTATTTCAAATAATGAAAATTCAAATGAACAATCATCAACATAATATTTAGACGATATTTCTCTGTTTATTTTAATGATCATCATAAGTCAAATTCAACTTTTTATTGAACTAGTCAATATCTTTGTCTCGTATTTCAAATGATTAATCAACGAATTTTTTATGAAATGAAGTATAGAATAAATCTCGATTTATTTTTATCTCTGAATAATGTTATTCATTATCTCTTATTATTTTTCAAATATTCAAATAATCTAAGAATTTTTTCAAAAAGAAAACCTTTGAATAGAGACTATAATACGTACATCTATCGTTTAAAATCAATGGATAATGAGAGTTGATAACTAATAATCTATTCTAGGAATATCAATTTTATTACTAACGTACCAAGATAATGACTGCAATGTGCAAAATATTTCGTTTCATTACAACAACATTCTATTAACTCTTTCAATTGTTTTTATTTAAGAGACTTGACGACGGTGTAAGTAAATAGCTGACGCAAAATCACATTTCATATTACATGATATATTTCATACTACTATTGTCTTTTGGAAAGGTATGTAAATGAAGCAAACATCAGGATAAAAACCAGTGTACATCTAGTTCAAATGTCTTCATTCATATCATATTCATTGTTTTAGTTGTTGGTATGCATTTCTTATTTGCTATAGTAGTAGTAGTGTATATTTCAGACGACTAGAAACTGACATTAGTCAATAAGAATTCTAGTTTTAATCAAAATATAAAACAAAAATATATACAAATATATTTTTTGATAAAATATAAATAAAATTTTGTCGGTCTTATTTTCTATTATGATGTGAAACTATAGAAATTTTTGATCACAAATGTATGATTCAATCAATAAAACATTAATCAAAAGTAGAGATGTAAGTCGAAGCATTTGATTCACGGCGATAGCTGGATTAATCCAAACTTTTTTCCTTTGTTGCCGGCAGTGGCGGCTCAGTCGATCGACTTACACCTCTAATTGAAGATAGCGTAGATTATGTTCAACAGAAATATGGAATAAAGAATCTACCTGTTCAGCAATCTTTAACCAACTTTTATTGAGTGAAACATTGTACAAGAGCTTTCAATCAATTTGATGTTGTTATACGTAGCAACGTTTATTCGATCGGTTCGTTATAATGAAATGATCATGACCCGTCAATTGATGAATGATGAATAGAATATCATAGTATAATTTGTATCTATATATAGAGATAGATCTATATCATGTATTTAACTCATTTTTACTTGAATTTGATGCATAGGCCAAAAGTAAAGATTTATTTTTTAATTAAAGCATCTGACTAATTCAATGAATAAATTTTAATGTCTTATCGACCTATATACACTCATAAAGAAATAGAATAATCGATGAACTCTATTCTCACTCAATTCTTTTGTTTTTGTTTATTCTCATATAAAGACTAGCCATTGATAGATCGAATCTTCAATGTACCGAATAAGTTCATTTGATAGATCTCTATCTAGCATCAATCATTACAAATCTAAAAGCATCTTATATCTCTCTCCGAACTGTACGAATAAAGAAATGTAGTGGAAACTCTATCTTAAACGAAACTGAAATCTCGAAAGACGCGCACGATGGGTTTGTAAGTACTGCATGATAGTTTGATACGAGAATGAGAGTGTGGGTGTAGGTGTGAGTGAGGATGCAGTTGACAGAGTTTGTTTGTTTTCAAAACTCTGATATCTCGATCCGTTCACATCTTTCGTACACCCGTATTTTGCTTCCTCTAATGCACATATATCATGGATTGAAACAATAATCCTATATTAGCTGCAAATAGTGCTGAAAGGAACAGTCTCAATTGTCTTGAAGTCTTCCGTAAATCTCTTGAAACCATATAAAACTAACTGCTACATATACATGCTGTCGAATTTCAGCGATGTCTGTACATTGATACAAAATAGAGATTAAAAAAAAATACTGCCAAATACGCACGAGAAATTAAGTGAATTTGCGAAAAGCAGCATCTATGTCTATCCTGAAGATATCGTGTCTTCCTTGATTGCTCTAATTGTACTTACCCGCTTCCACTACAAATTTAAAAAGTCAAACATACAACGACCATCTATGACCGCACACAGCAGTTGTAGAACTGCATATACGGAATTTGTTTCTAGCCATTTCGCTCCGTATACACTTTTCTTACAAGGAGTCCGTTTACATTTTCCGTGTATCACCATTTTTCTTCGTAAACGATTGTTTACGAGTGTGTATGTCGGTCTGAATACAAAAAAAAAACATATATTCAAATAATGTCTATTGTACTATAATGAAGATACACGATTATACAACTTTTTGTGTACTTTTTAAATAAAGAAAAACTATTGAAATGACACGTTCATGTGATATTATTTCATAACTCCTCTCTAGAAGAGACATTGGTTTTTTTGTTATTTCTGAAAACTCGTAAATTTGTTCTAGTCCTTCTTTAACAGATGTTAATTATGGTAAAAGTATTATATGTTATCGTAAAATAGTATAAAAATCTTGAATATTAATATAAAGAAAAAAAAACCGAGTATGAAAGTAACTCTTTGATCAATGTAATATTTAATTTTTTTTCTTTATTACTTTCAATGTTAGTTATCAATAATATAAAACGCAAATTACTAAATTAGACAACAAACATTCAAAATTCAAAAATATTCGAAAAAAAAAAGAATAGTATTGTTTATTGTTTCAAATTTTTCTTTTTCTATGATGTCTTATCAATTTCATCATCAGCTTTTTGTTTTCGACCTTCAACATTCCAATCTGTTGGATGAAAATATTGCACTGTTTTTTTATACGTCCAATAAGGTGTTAACCAACAACTAATAGTTATAAGACCGACTAGCATATTAATTGTAAATGCTACTGGAAGATTTTGTTTAATATTATTCCAATCATGATAGATATCAATCCACCATAATATTTCAAGAAATGTACGAAAATGGAAAACATTAATCAATATCCATTGATTAATTTTCCAAACTTTTGTTTTTTCCAATTTTAATTTTAATAAACACCAACAAACACATGAAAATGGTGTACTTGCTTCAAGCATAAATCCTTTTAATGCATAATAATGACCACAATTATAATATGCAGCAAACAAGTAACCATTAAATGCAAAAATATGATGCAAATGTAATTCTTTTGAAAAAGTATGATATTTTATATCAAAAAAAATTAATGTAAGTTCTTCAAATATGAAAAAACCAAATAAAATAGTTACAAATGCCCATGATTCATCTGTTGTTGCTACTGAAAAATCACGTCTAACCTTTTCATCAATAAAAACAAGATAGACAGCTACGTATATATATATATAAAATAAACACGAGTTAAATTCAAAATTCAAGTAAAAAAAAATTCATACCCCAAATTGATAATGATCCAGATACTGCTCGAACCATTGCTAATTTCCAAAACATTCGTTCTTTTGGTTTTAATGTTCTATTTTTACAAGAGAATAATAAAAACTAAAGAATATAATCAATAGATTTCTCAAAATATAAACAGTTAATAAACATTCAAGTTGAAACGTTTGAATACAAAAAATTCCTAGAGACATATTGTTCTGTATGATATGAATCATTTTAAGCGATACAGAATATAGCTACCTTTCATTTTGACTTTGATTCTCTAGAAGATTTGCACTTCATCACGTCGCTAACGAATAGTAAACCGATTTTTTTTTGAAAAATCTAGATGTGCTTCAAAAAAAAAGTTTAAATTAAGACTTTGTGTAGGCTCGGAAATTGTCTACAGAATGTACACTATAGTTTCATGTAACATATAAAAAATTTTTCTAGGAAAGTTCATTATCCTGAAATGCATTTGTTTTAATTTTGTGAAGTCACGTGACTAACGAATAATTTGACTCATGTATAATAGAGGTATTTTATTGATACTTCGTCTGTCTCGTTAGATACTTTAAAATAAAATATAAAATTAAACTTACCGAACTTTAGGTATTAGATGTTTTGAAATCCATCCCATAAAAAAGAACAATGTTAACCAGGTACAATAACTAACAACAATGCGAAGTGCATTGTCACCTAGTGTTTGACTCGATTTTGGGATTTTTATAGGTATTTCAAATTTTACATTAGTCTAATATTTTGATTTCAATATAAAATAATATTTCAACAAATAAAATTTTCTTACCATTTTTGCGTTTAGACAATATTAACACTCCTTGTCTACCTGAAGATGAATTTAATTATATCTCACAGTTTACATAGCTTTTAAAAGCAGATAAGCAAATAACTCTTTGTCTTTTTGTTACTGTTGTTGTTGTTGTCGTTGTTATCGTATGGTCCTCAAACACAACGTGTGATAAATTTAACTAAGAACGGTACTTTTATTTTTCTAAAAGGTAAATGGGTCATTTCTTAAAATATCTATGTCAACTTAGTGCTTTTTATTCTACCAACCAAATTATTTCCGATATTTTATTAAACAAATACAATTTTCTTTTTTTTTTTTTATTTAATATAGATAAAAATGATTTATTATTTATAATAGAAAATATATCAAATAATTTAATTATCACAATAGAAGAATATAAAATTTTGTCATATAAATTTGATTTCACACTTGTTAAAACCATTGTTGACCTAAATAAATATACTTTTTAATGACTGTCTATATGCCTTCGGTATAATTGTTAGTGAAGCCAAATAATTTCATTGATGTTCAATAAGCAAATAAAATTGCAAGTATATGCAAATATTATGATCAAATATATCATACATTCACGTTCACCTAAAAAAATTCAATATATCAATCATATATAAATTCAATTTACATTAAAAATCTTTTCATTAAAAAAAAAAAAAAAGAAATTATTTTCAATTTATATATTTTACAATAGGTATCAAATCAATCAAATTCATTCGTTTTACATTTCAATGGCATTTATTCTCAAAATAACCTACAAACCAAGGTCATTATTACAATTGCATAAAAATAATAACCTTGAAGAACATTATTTCAGATTGTTTTTCTTTCTATTGAACTGAATACAAATATGTAAATTTGTTATTATCGAACAATTTCAGATTAATAAGATTTTTCAATATTTGTTCATATAACTGAAATAATTAACATAGTATTTGAACTTTTCAATTTTTGATTTGTTTGATTAAGAATATTGCTAGTAGTAAATGTTGCGTTATTCTTCAAAATGTTGGTTATCAATCTATTGAGACATACATTAAGAAAAGAGAAGGGTAACATATAAAGCAAGACTTTTTTTTTTTTCTTCTTTCTTCTTCGTCCTAACTTCGTAACATACCATACATTTAAATCACTATTTCACCATCATCGTCTTTTTTTTTCTTCTTTTCTTCCTATTCGTCTTTTTTTTTTTTTTTGTTTTTTTTTGTTTTACTCACTATTCATTTTCAATCGTTAACAGTCATCGATGGCATTTGTATGGTCTAGCTGTTGAGGAGAAAGAAATAGAACTATGTTAAAAAGAGTTAGTTACATATTGCCAATAAGATTTATTACTAAATTAGCTTCGTCTATTTTTAGTTTTTTCTTTACTTTCCTTTCTTTTTTTTTTTTTTTTAAGTACGTGCCATATGTTTCATGTCAATATGTATGTAGAAGAATTTCTATGTCAACTAGGTAGGTCGTCTAGTTTGTCATGCAATAAAGTAATCAATAGGATTAGTTATGTTTTCCTTTTATTTAAAACATTGAAATAAGTAGGAAAGAAAAACAGTAATCAACTTCCGTCATATGAATGGGTTTGACTTGTGTAAATGTTATTATCAATAACTTTTAAACTATGGAATGTTGATTAACAGATTCATTTTCAGATTAATAATGGTATAATAGATTAATAAGCAGTGGTCTTCATCTGTGACCATGAATTTTCCATGTGGACCGTTGGATACGATCCAATTAATTGCACTTATTCTTTTTATACTTCTTTTTTTACAAAGTCTCCTTGGTATTGGTCTAGGTATAGGATTTCTTCTTCAACCACCATTATATAGAACTATTATTGATCTCAATTCTGCTTTCAATAGACAAGCTTATTTTTCAATTTATGCACGTAAGTATTAAGCTTGGAAGTAATAATCTAGAATAAATATCTTCTTTTTTTTTAGCTCATATACTTCTCATAATTGGTAGTGGTATCGTATTAATATCAATTATTTTAGGTATATTCGGTATATTACGACGTCGTTGGTGTTCTTTAATAATTTCTCTTGCTATACTTTCACTTTATATGGCTATTTTATCAGGTGCTGTTGCATCTGGTTTTGCTTATTATGATCGTCTTCGACCTACATTAGAAACTGATATTTCACAAACATCAGCATCTATATGGTCAACAGTTCGTACAACTTATAATTGTACAGGAACCAATTGTGTTACTGCATTAGAGAACGCTATGTATTCAAACAAACAACGTATTGGTATAATATCTGCTGTTTTTTTACTTGTACCAAGTTTAACAATACTTATTATTATGTTTCAAATGCGTCGAGATATACTTTATTTTAAATAATAATATACAAGCATATAAAAGTTCATGAACCTACTTCACCCTCATTTTCTCTTTTCATGATGGTGCTTCTCTTCTCTATGCAATACGGTGCTAAATTTTTATATATATATATATATATATGTGTGTGTGTTTGTGTATGAGTGTGCATAACTATTAGAAATCAAAAAAAAAAAAAAAAAAAAAAGAAGAAGATGTAATGCCTCCTTTTTGTTATCACGCACTGAGTTAATAATTAACCATGATATTAAGTTTTTTTTTTCCTATATATTGATTATGTAATAGAATATACATAGGAAAAAAAAGGAGAAAAATGTGATGTGTGACAACGAGAAATGCACAAAGCAAAAATGAACTTGAACTCGAGAATTATACTGCATGTGCAAATTTTATGGTGACTCTCTTTTGCTTTCATTCAATAAACGATAATGATCAAAATAGGAAATGAGACTTGTCATTATGAATATTAAACGAAATTTACATAATTATTATATATATATATATATATATATATGGACATGTTAAAATCAATTGATTTCAATTTTCTGTAGAAAAATGAATTTTTTATATCATAATGGGTTTCTATGAAATGAATAAATCAGGCGTGTCACAGTACTTTTCTTTTTCTGCACAATTAAAAATCTTCGATTGAATAAAAGATATGAATAATATAATTGTTTTATATATTATGAATTGGTCCACTAGTCAAAGACCTATGATAACAATACAATAGTATTGGTATCAATGTATGTCTAGACAAAATAGTTTATCAGTAAAATTCTATTTCTCATATTATATCAATAAGATAATACAAATAAAATTTATCATTATTATTCGTCAATTATCATTGTTATTATAACAGTAACTATATTGATTAACTTCTGAGCTTCATTATTACCTTCGATTTTATCATAATTATTGCTACTTCAAATAATTAAAGTTTAATGATCATAATAGTATAATCTTGAATGATAAAATCTATGTAGATCATGATAGGAATGGTTTAATGATACACATTTATGCATATTTTCATTTAAGAAAATATTAAAGTCATCAATAGAATAAAATGAAATACATGTCAAATAAGTTTTATTAAAAACAATGATGATGTAATGAGATACTTATTAGGTTCTTCTTTCTAACATAAAAAATTATTAATTTGTATATTTAACATTTTTATCAAAAAAAATGTCATTTAACATGTTTTGAAAGGATATATAACAATAAAAACTACTTCAAATCAATTGACATTTTCATTTGTTAATAGTTATTGTTGATCGATACAAGAACTTGTGACATAAAATGTTTTATATATTCGAAGTTACATTGAAATATTTCACACTTTTCTTTAGTTAAAAAACAAACCATTTAATTTATCAAATTAATCATTTATAGATTAAATATGATCAAATTTACCTTGAATCTCAGTTAAGTTGTTACATTGATGAATAATATTTCAAATTCAATGAAGTAAAAATATATGCAGATGAATACAAGTTTTATTTAATATATTAAGAAGACAGGACGATGTCGAAGAATATTTTTAAAAGTGTTCTTTATGTTAATATGTACATATCATTATGTTGATAATGTTTCATATTGTTCTTTCTTCTGCTGTGCAATATTATTCGAAGCTTTGCTTTATAGACCAATGATCGTTAAGAGTTCTCACTCGTCTTCTTAAAATAATATAAATATAAAAATAATAATGATGAATGTCTTCTTAACTTTTACTGTTGATCATAGCACATTAGATAAAAAATGTAATTCGATTCATCAAATATGTCAATATTAACATCAAGTACAGTTCATTTAATAAGAATTATGTTAATTCAATATTGAGATGTATTGGTACTCTATTGATTATGTTATTTTTTTTAATACTCTTCTTGATCGGTAAGAAAGAATAATAATTAACACGAACTACTGGTTGATTGATTGAGTCGGTTTCATAGAACATGGAAAGTGGTGGAAAAAAAATTCTTTTAACTAACTTATTAGTTTTCTTTCTTTGATATTGTTCGCTTATTCATCATTATTAATTATGGTAACTTACTTTTTTTATGTCATGCAGCAGCCGTATTTATTATTATAGAATATAGATTCCACTTGGTGAAATTTGAGAAGTCTATTTCAGTTGGTGTCGTATATGGATATGGTTACAACTGATGACAGGCACGATTAGCAAATTCTATTATCAAATTATGAAGGCGGTAAATTTTTTCATTAGAATTATTATTGCTTTGATAACGGTAAATTTCTCTGAGATTTTAATGAAATTAAATGTACATATTGATTTTCTTCGAAACAGGTGTAACTGACTTAACAAAAGAGAATAGCATTTGTATTCGAGTAACAAATACATCTAACATTGGAATATATTGTTTTCCCTATGATTAAATGAAGTATTTGTCGTTTTATTGAAATTAAAGCTTTGTACTCTGTTATCTTGTACAAACTAAATCGAAATTAATTGAAATGATTCTATTGAATTTACGAGAAAATCGTCCGATGTGATTCAAAGTTTTTGATCCTATAGTTTTTCAATTAGTACAGAGCTTGCATAGTAGAAAAACCTAAGAAGATATAAATCTATGTTGCAAAATATTTGCCAATATATAGAAGTTCTACGAAAATTTCCTTGAAGAACTTTAATTTTTTAGTAAAACCATATTTTTGAATTTTAATCTGAAACATTGTCCATATCAGTCAGTCAAGTAAACTACTCTGTATAAAAAAAAAATTCACAAATTTTGAGCATCGCATTACCAAGACGTGAGTGCTTTAAAAAATGCATGTTTACAATAATATCTATGCGTAAGCAGCTATGCTTTCAAAAATTCAAGTCTCCATTGTAAGAATTTTATTATTATAGTAATCACGAG